ATATTAAAATTAGTTTAAAGCTTTGAAAGTATTTTATTAAAAACAAAGCCATTAAATATAAAAGCTAATCAAGATCATACATTCAAATTCCAAAACACAAAACATGAAAAAACAAGAAAAGATATTTCATGAAGCCATTAATTTAATAAATTTTTTTTTTTAAATAGCTGCTCATTAAAATTCATCCGTTTAGGTCAGTGTTAAATATAAACATACTTTATTTATCCAGTGGGAACAAGTAACGTGAAGTTTGTTCAAATTAGTTACATAATAATAAATAAATAAATAACCATAAATAAAAACATGAAGATGGTAAGAGTTCAAAATTTAATAACGTGACTGGATGCAGCCTCTATAAAAATGTTGTTTATTTTTTATTTATGAATCATACATTGCAGCCAGAGGGAAGATTTACTGCCCATGCACACAGCCATGCAGAGATTTGACGTTCTGAATCAGCCTTATATAACACTATTGTCATAGTGTAAGTTAAAATGACTCCTATTTATCAATTTTGACTCATCTTGTAAGGAAATGCAACAAACATGTTTCCTTATGAACAGAAAACATATGATGAAACAACATTTTAACCTCTGTGCATGCATGGAGTACTGGACAAGATTAACTTTAAAATGTTAGATTTTTATGACAGCATAGAATGTACCTTTCAATTTTGGGATGGTTTGAAAATGTGAAGCTGGTCTCTCCCCAGGACGACTCATGTTATGATCCCAGCACGTTGTTCACGGTCCTGCAGGCAGCACAAGAACATTGGGACATGCACTAATAGATTTAGGAGCGATATCTACCCAAAAGTTATCAGTGCTATAATAAAAAACCAGCACATTTGCTCTTTACGTCTACATCCAGTGAAAATGTTCCATTGTCACGTGTGTGACAATAAAATTGGTGTCTTGAACTGTTTTAGGAGAGTTTAAGTGAATAAATGTGGGCTAAACAATAAACTATTTAACAAAAAGTAACAGATCTTTATAAAGGGATTAATGTTCTTGGACAAAGAAGTTATGGAGAATTTTTCCTCAAAAGTGAGAGACGTTAGCAGTAATCACAGTGATCTTGGTTAATTTACTATGAGCTAAATTAAAGAACATATTCATAAAAAGCAGCAGGGGGAGTGAGTATGATACCTTTTTTCATCCAGAACTTATGTGAAGAGGAAAAGCTTAATGTGTCAGATTTTAAATTATTTAATTGGATGATTTAAACTATAATTTCTGCCATGAAAGCTGTTCTTCCTCTGTTTTTCTGGCGTTGTGTGCAGATTGCATGTAGTACCACCTCCGGCCTGACGGGGGCAGTGGACTTTGGGGCGTTCTGCTCCCACAACGAAGAAAAAAAACAACTTCCGGGTTTTTGGAAAACAAACTTTCTCTGGCGTTTCCTAAAAGTGGTAAGAAAACGACTTATTTAAATCACGTAGATTAAAAAGAAAATACAGCTGTTCTTGTTACAACCTAAACTTTTATTATACACATTTGTAATAAAAATGTTGGTCGTAGTTCAACACTCGCCACTCTGCGCCAACATAACATTCAAATACAGGTTTAGCTTAGTTAAAATAAGCATCACGCCCTTGAAAGTTATTTTTTTCTTATCGTGTTTTAAAATGTGGACAACATTTGGTGAAATATAACGACAAGAAGACTCAGTTTGTAACTTTAGCAATGCGGAAGAGGGAAACCAGCATGGCCTGAAGGACAGAGTAAAATAAAAATACAAAAGGAAAGCTAAGCTGAGATTCTGTTCCTGATAAACAATGACTTCATATCAATATAAGAAATAGTGCATTACATGTAAACATCTGGTGGTATTTTTAAACTTGCAGCCCTACATCTCACAGGTTTTATATTTCTAGACCGTACCAAAGATGCCCTGTAGTTAGTATTTCAGATTTTAAAAAATGCTTCTGTATGCTGCTGCTCATTTGTTGAAGATTCTAGAAAGTGTCTGTGTTCAAGTTGCTCAAAAAGTAAAAAATTAACATGTGCTGTTGTGAGACTAATTGTAATTTTGTTCAGATGTGAGAAAGAGTTTGTTTTGCTGCTTTTTTCAAACATTGAGCCAAACATTTTATGCAAGTGGCCAAAAGTATTGACTTGGTTGAGGAGTGAATGGACCGTTCAGTTATTACATTTTAACCTAAATGGGTTGAACTAGTTGTTGTTAAGTTCTAGAATTGCGTCGCTCAACGTGGCTGCATGTTGGAGCAGCTCTGTTACTTTCATTCTGAGATTTTGCTTTTGGAAACTTTAATTCCTCTTTTTCTGGATGTAAATCACATTTTTTTGGATGATTGTTTCCTCTGGTATCAGATGCTGTGCAGCTGGAAGGATTTTTACTGAAACTCTTTTTTTTAGTTTTGGACATTTGTTCTGTTGCGTAACCATGGCAACAAGGCAGTTTTCTACAACCAACAGCAGCTGATTAACATCTCAAAAGCTCAAATAATATCTCAACTACAGCCCCAAATCTCAAATGAGTTGAAAAGGAGGCTCTGTGGACGCATTCTCATCTACCTGCCAGCTGTGCCTGACCACTGAGATCCTGGAACTAGCAGGAAACACGGCTCATGACAGCGGAAGGACGGGATCGTCCCTTGGCACCTACAGTTGGCTGTCCGCAGTGACGAGGAGCTCGGCAGACTGCTGGGAGGTGTGGCCATCGCACTGGGAGGAGTTCTGCCCGGCATTCAGATGGTCCTGCAGCCCGGGGGAACCGAGAGGCCAGTCGAGTCTGGGTGGACGGACTGGACGGCATCTGCAGCCAGTTTCTTAGGATCCACTGTGGGATGGACCTTTACAAGAGATCCTTCCTGTCTACAGCCATCAGTATCTATAACATCTCTTAATGAAATTAGGATAACAAGTTACAGCAACAAATAATTTCCCTTTGGGATTAATACAGTATAACTGAATTGTTGTTCACCCTTGTTATAACAGCAGGGTGTAATTACTACCGCTCTCACAGCTGCATGTTTGTTTTTTTTCCAGCAATTTACCCCCATATTATCAAGTGATTGAATGGCACCAGATTCATTCCTTTTAATGAACATCTATTGACAGTAACCTGTTTAGTTTGAAAATATGATTTTATTTTAGAAGGGACTGTAAGGGAGCTGCAGCAGAACAGTGTCTGCTAATCTAAAGTCATTATAGTGAAGTAAAAATAAACGTGGAAAAAATACGGTCCAAATAATATTCAAAACTGTTAGTTAATTATCAAATTTCTTGATCGTCATTGTCATATTTGTGACTGAAACTCAATTATTTTCGTTGTCAAGCATATGAAATTGAGATAGGAACTTCGGTCCACTTTTCATTTGTTTTAGTGAATAAAGCGAAAGCACTGGCCTTCAAAAATGTAGCTGAGACAAATTTCACTTCCATTGCTCATAGTGAGTATACTGTACGTGATGTGAGGTGTCCCGTTCTTTTTTCAATAATTGAAAAACAATCACAAAACTATATATATATTTATATATGGGTTGTTGTGTTAACCAGCACAAATAAGAATAAAATGTTCACAAGTTTATCTTAATGTTTTATATTTTAGGTTTTTAGATATTTCAATCACCGCACGTCAGATCCATTAAAGTAAAGTCCATTAAAAATTGAGAAGCTCGACCTACGGAGTAAATTTTTAAATTACAAAAACGTAAATTGTTTTTCAGTTATCTTACTTTTGCTTTACGAAACATATTGAACTGATTGGTTAATAACATTTTTACCCATCTGCATTTTTAAGCACATCCAAATATATTGCTTTATTGTTGCTTTATAACGAATCAAAGCAGAACAGTCTGAAAACATGACGGTGGCAGATGTGAATGATAAACACTGTTTATAAAGACACTTAAAATTCATAAAGAATTTCAGCTTTCATGCTCCTGTTGTAAATAGTTATAACCTGAAGCAGAGGAAGTTGCATCAACAGAAACCTGAATTTCTTGTCTTCACACATCGTACTTGCCTTTTCTTTTTTTGCTCGTTATTCCTCAGGTTACTCTGTGACCATACTTGGAGAACAAAGGTTGTTCTCAGTGCCTGGTGTGTTGGTGTTTGACTCTATTCAGGCTATAATGGAGGAAGAAACAGTCATGTCATCAGCGAGTTCTTCCATTGGAGAGGCAGCGTCTGGAAGAGGAGAGGCGGAGAACTTTGAGGAAGAGGATCTTTACTACATCCCTGAGCGGAGGCCGTCTCTTGACCTGGAAACGACCCCAATGGACAACAGCCACTGGTACAGAGATCTTTCACGTTTCAGCCATTGTCTTTATCATAATAATTGTTTGAAAACTGTTCATAAGTATAACATCTTCTGGATGACGCACAGAGAAAAGAATGTTTGTCTAGAAGGAGACAAAGGTCATCACTTATTCTATTTCTTTAAAGTACAGTGGATGACCATGAGCATCACTCATGCTTTGTATGCAACAAAACTCACAGTTTGGCATCAACCTTCAACATGTTTTAAAATGAAACTTGTTTAGTTTAAACATATAGACAACCTACATGTTCTACCTGAATTCATTATATTTTAAAATAACTAAACTATAACTGGAAATCTCAGGGAATCGTCTGGAAACTGGAAATCTGCACAAAAATTAGAAGACGGCTCAAAAAAAGACACATTGGTGTCACTGTGAAATTTAAATTGACAAAGAAAACAGGTTCAAACTGTATTTCCATCTTTTTTTCTCCTCAGGCATTTTGTGGATCTCGCTTTGACTCCAGCTCAGAGCTACAAGTCGATGTGCAGTGACTTGTGCAGTGAAGAGGGCGCAAACGAAACGCAACATAAGAACGGACCCTCTACAAAGTACAAAGAACACAAGTCTTGAGAGGAATTCTGTCTAACTATTTCCGTTCTAATTTGAGCTGATTACACTGAAAGTTGTTCAGGTTCTCTTGTGTTCCTGACGTCAGGGTGGAGCTGCAGAGAGCCGATTCATACTCGAGCTGCTACTCATTCGACAGCGACGACTGTGAAAAGAGGACTCTCAAGTAAGACGTGTACCCTTGAACAGGTTTGTGTGTGGCTGACGCGTAGGTAAGATGTAGTAAAAATCTTTTGCTCTCATCAGAGTCAAGGACCGAGGTGAAGAACCAGAACCTGAAAAGCTGGAATTCATCCAAGATCCAGACGAACTCAAGCATCCGTCTTTGACTGTGAAATTCACTTTTCAAGTCGGTTTATATTTGTTTTTATCTACTGACATGCACCAGAAGTTACATCTATGTGATAGATGAAAGTAACATCCCTAACTGTAGTTGTTCCTTTGAATCCAGACTATATGTGAAACACTGAAAATGCTGACGGAGGACCAATTCAAGACATTCAAGTCGAAGCTGCGGGATTATTACCGGCAATATTTCAGCTCTTCTCATAGCATGGACAGAGTGGATGTTGTGGACAAACTGCTTGAGTGCTTCAGCCACGAAGTTTCTATACAGATCACCAAAACCATTCTTGACATGATGGGTAAAAACAAGGAGGTTACTCATCTCCAGAACATGTGCACCAGAAGTAAGTGCATCAGTTTCTCGTAAAGTTGATTTTAGGCCTGTCGCGATGAACAATAAATCAATTAATCGCATGATAAATGAAAATGATCAACCTCATTTTCATTTATCGGCTTTATCGTTTCTTTGTGCCTCGCTTTCTACTGAAGACACTGGATGACAAAAGGCTCAACTCGGGGGCTCTTCACCGACCCCTACCTTTCTCTTTTCTCTTTAAAATCCATTTGAACCGTCCAAAATCACCTTTTTGGATCGTTGAAAGAATCTAAGCTACGAGCTAAGCTAACAGGCCGGCCTCGGGGAAAAAAAACCTCCGTCTCGTCAAAGCTCCAAAATTCACGGTTGAAACCCGTAAAAAATTATTTTTCTCTGCAAAAAGAAGATGAGAGCTTGTTTACTGTTTTTCGTTTTTTAATTAAAAGCTTTGTGTGAAAAATGCGATGCTAAAGAGCTCAAACCACACCGAGCGTCCGCCATTTTGAGAACCGGAAAAGAGACAGCCCGTGTCACGTCAATGGGCCTCCCTCCCATTATCTCTTAGACACACTGCTCGCTCCCTCACTATCCATCCTTTGGTTCACACGGTCTTATACTGTCATCCAGTGGTCGAAAAAATGTACTACATACAAAAATTAACATTTTTCTTAAATTTGACAATAATTACCAATTATTGTCCAATTTTATCGTTTATCGCAATAATTTCTGAGACAATCGCCCAGAAAAATTTGTTATTGTGACAGGCCTAGTTGCTTTAATCATAACTAAATTTATACAGGGCAGCTGTGGCTGAGTGGTTAGAGCAGTTGTCCTCCAATGCAAGAGTTGCTGGTTCGATTCCACCAGCAGTCACATGCCGGAGTGTCCCTGGGCAAGACACTGAACCCTCATTGCCTTCGATGTGTGTCCCATCAGTGCATGAATGTGATAAAGCTCTGATTAGTCTTTGTATAGTTAGTAGAGTGCTGTATGAATGGGTAAATGTAGTGTAAAGTGCTTGGAGTATCTTGCTAAGATAGAAAGGCGCTATAAGTGCAGTCCGTTTACCATTTACACTGAAAGCTTGATTGGAGAATTCATAACATGTTTTTTTTTTTTTTTTTTTTTTAAGATGCAGTACGTTATGAGTTGTGTCAAACCCTGAGAAAGAAATACAGTGAAATAAATGAAGATTTCTCCGTGGAGGAAGAGAAAAGGTCCTTTGATGACGTCTACGTTGATCTCCACATCTTATCAAAGGGTAGTAATGGCCCAAACACTGAGCACGAGATTATGAGCATCGAAAAACCAACAAACAAGAGACAACCAGGGGGAAAGATAACTACAGCAGATATTCTGTCTGCTAAGAACGTGGAGGAATCGTACATAAGACTGGCGTTGCTCACTGGAGTGGCAGGATCGGGGAAGTCCATGGTGGTTAGAAGGCTTGTCCTTGACTGGGTCGAGGAGCGCTCTCACCAGGACGTGTGCTTCGTGTTTCCCGTGTCATTCAGAGAGCTCAAACAGTTCGAGGGCTCCACGATTTCTCTGGTGGAAATCGTGCACGCACTCTATCCAGAAACCAAACAACTAAACCAGGAGGATTTTAAATGTTACGACTGCCGAATAATGTTTATATTCGATGGTTTAGACGAGTACAACGGGAACATTGACCTCTCCACTGTAGAGATTCATTCTGACCCCCAGGAGCCCGCCAACCTCAACACCATCGTGGTTAACCTCCTCAGAGGTCGGCTGCTCCTCCGCTCCTTGTGCTTGTTCACTTCCCGGCCACGCGTCAAGTCCTGCATCCCTTGGGATACGCACTACAACGAGATAGAAGTGCAAGGTTTCTGCGACCCTGAAAAGGACGAGTTCTTTAAGAAGAGGTTTAAAGACCCAAATCAAGCAGCTCGAGTCATTGGGCATGTCAAATCTTTCAAAACCCTCTACATCATGTGCCACCTCCCGTTGTTCTGCTCGTTGGTGGCCGACGAGTACCAGGCTGTTTTCAGAGAAAGGGGGCCGCAGGCAGAGCTGCCCACAAGCCTCGCCTACATGTACACAAAGCTGCTGCTGGCGCTCACTCGCCATTTTCGTCAATTTAGAGCTCCAGCTCCGCTCAGCCCAGATAAAGAGCAAGAGTTTCTCCTGAAACTGGGACAGCTGGCCTTAACCATGCTGGAACAAGGCAAGTTCCACATCCTCAAGACCGACTGGCCGGAGATCAGCGACGAGGAAGCAGTTAGTAGGAGTGGCCTCTGCACAGAATTTGTAATTACGCCAGTCGTGTTGTACAACGAGAAGGTCATGTGTTTTCTCCACCCCAGCGTGCAGGAATACTTGGCTGCTCTGTACACTTATCTCTCCTTTAGAAACCAGGACAAGAACGTTTTTGAGCAGGTTAAAATCAAACTCAAAGGGATGTTTAAAGGACACAGAATCATGGAGCTGTACAAGGCCGCTGTGGAGAGAAGCCTGCAGCACGACGACGGCAAGCTGGACATTTTCCTACGCTTCTTGTTTGGAATGACCCGGAAAACCAACCAAGAACTCCTCCGGCCTTTCTGCAAGCCTTCTGCCAGGGTGGAAGACTTCGCGCAAGACGCTGCTTCTCTCATCAGAAAGAAGATGAAGGAAAATCAGAATCCCAGCAGGATCAGCAACTTGCAGCAGTGCCTGGAAGAGTTAGGAGCGTGAGGCTCATGATTCAGCACCTTGTGTGCTGGACTTTTTAACGTATTGCAAATGCAAGACGACAAACGTGCGCACTTTTTTAACGCAGCAACATCGGTGCAGAGAACCTCTGAGAATGGAGTTCATCCATGTGGTCGAGTAACATTTGAGTTAACGCTAAACAGTCATATCTGTTGTCTGGGCCTATTTCAGAGTGTCCCCGTTGCATTTTAGGAGTTTTCAAACTTGGACATAAATCTAATTAATTATGACCTCAGGAAGAAAATGTTTGCTGAACAACTTTAAAAGGGCCATCCTCGCTGCTGTTTGACCTGTGCCTTGTTATAATAACCAAGGACAGCAGACAATTACTGCAGAATCATTTGAATGTTTTTTTTAAGCTTGCTTAAATTAGAAAATGGCTGGCCACCTCAGATTTCATCTCAATGTTTGAAAGATAAGGAAAGAAAATGGCGAACCTCGTGGTTAATTTGAGCTGGATCCTGCCGGAACCAGATCTGGGAACTCCCTCATTTTCACCGTGTGCAGCTGTTCGTTCGGATCCAGCAGCTCATATCTCCGCCCATAAAAATCCAAAGTCATCGTGCATTTTTATTTTGATTATTTATTAAAAATACGAGAGGAGACGTTGTCCATGTCTGTGGTGTGGATCTTACTGCTGCAGCGGACGCAGCAACCCACGGGCACGCTCCTGCAGCACAGACGCTCGCCGCATGTCCCGCGGGGATGAAGCGTCTTCATCCGCCTTCAGCTGTGTCTCAGAATCCAAAGCAGCACTAACGTAGCACTAACCGCTCATTTAATGGAATTTTTGACATGGGTGGGGTGTCGGCTTCACCTCGATCAGCTGTGCGCCCTGCAGACGGTGCACGTTTTACGCACAGGAGCGTCTCCAGACAGCTCTGCGGTGCGCGCACAACTGCCAATGTGTCAGAAGTCCTGCACACATTTTCAAAAGTTATAAATAAAAAAGCATACAGTAAAAAAAAAAAAAAGAAATGTATTCACATTGCACGTTTCAAAATTAGTCAAAATAACAGGATCAGAATGTTAAAAAGAGTCCAATTTATTATGTAAAATAAATGGATGGATGATTGTTCTCAGCTCGACAACAGAGAGTTGAAGCACCTGAAGGAAGTGGTGAAAGAGACTGGAACAGAACACGCAGGACTGAATTCAGCTGAGAAGAGGTCGGGTCGGACATTGGTTTGTGTGTGTTGGGGGGTTGGGACGCTTGACAGAATTGGAGCTGCTGTTCACGGCTCTCTAAAATAGTAATTTCAATTCATCCTTTATTTATACAGGTTGTTAGTTTCATGGAGCCTCGTCATTTACAAGAGAGACCTGATTTTAATCAGTTTAATCAAATGTTTACAGATGTTTTAACAACCTGTTAAAATACTCCAAAATGCAGGAAATGGCATCTTTTATTCCATATTTTCTGGGGGGGCGGGACCACAGACCCCCCCGCTATTTGTGTTCTGGCATCATTTGTTTTACAAATTAAGGCCTGGGCGAAGCCAAGTGAAATGCATCACACTTTATTCACATGCCTTCAGACTTTCTGCAGCTGGTTCAATAAAAAAACCAACAGATGTAAAAACAAGACAAAGTGCCTCAGGAGGACCGGGGAAAGTAATTTAGAAAAAAGCAAGTTTGGGGTCAGAGAAGAATTCTGATGGTATAACAAGAGGAAAGTCAAAACAAAGAATAACATTTTGTTTATTGGTGTCTTGTTAAAAGGTATTTTAATCCTGAGAACATTGTACGATGGGGAAAAAAGTACTTTTTACCACTTTTACTTCAAAACCAGTAAATAGTTTGGGCAAAAAAAATAATAAACTTACAGAATGAGATGAAAACCATGTTCAATAATATTGCACAATATGCATTGACATTAAGTTTTTAAAAAATATCAATTTTGTTTTGGCTAATTATAAATGCCAAACGAACATGAAAAATTAAAAGTGCAGTGTTATTCCCTGAGTTTACCGACTTGTCATTGTTTGAAAGTTTTATTTGGTTCTTTAGTAAGTTTTTATTCTTTTCATTGCAAATATTTTGGATTTAATTTGAGAGGCATAAATAAATGGTTTTGCCTATATACATGGTAGACATGCTTTTTTATATTACTTGGTCTTAAAAAAAAACCATGATTTATTGGGAAGGGGGTCCTTGTTTTTCCACAATTCGGGGGTCCAGGTTGATCATATGCAGATAAATTAATTCATCCATTTGAATCAGGTTTGTTGTTGCAGGGGGACATTTAAGACCTGCTAATTCTGTTGCTAGGCAACATCAGAGTGAGTTGGGTTCCTGTTACACCTCCAGATGGAGGTGAAGGACCAGCATCATGAAAGACATCACAGGACCACCACTGAAGAACGGGTCCTACCCCGACACTGACATGGCTCTGTAGAGACGTGGACAGTTTTCTTTTATTTCTGAATATTGTAGTATTAATGTTTGCTCTACTTTTAATGTTATTTATTTTATTATTAGTGTTCCCACACTATTGGTCTGTTGCTGGTCTAAACTTGGACCTGAGTAACAAACACTTCTTCTCGTGCTCCCACGTTCTGTGAATGAATCAAAATTCCTTGAAACCTTCACAGATTTAAAACTCACCGTCATCACTTTATCTCAGCCAGACCATCAGGTTGTTTTATTCTGGACATACGTTCTGCATCTTTTTTTAAACTCTACATTCTAGTCTATTTTTCTGCTACAGTAAACTCGGCTTTAACCAGTGTGTGGATTATAGAAAAGACAATCTGGGAGAAAGGGGGTGGGGGTCGACTCATTTTGCATAAAGGTCTCGTATAAAACATTTTCAGTGTTTTGCCCATTTTAAATTATGCATGCAGTATCTGCTGTAGATGTATATTAAAATATATGACCTTCAGTCTTTAATAAAACTATTTCTGGAATTGAATGTAAAACAAATAAACATCAAGACATTCAGGAGCAGAGCTGCACAAAGTTTCACATCTACATGATCCCCAACCCAACAAGGAGGGAGGTTTTAGTTTGGAACTAGAAAAGTTGAATTTCCTGAAAGATGAAAATGAGCTGAAACATCAAAAACTGTTCAATGTAATGAGTTTTAACAGAAAACTAAGATGAAAGTGAAAAGCAAAAGGCTAGATCAAATGGCTCAAGAGACGGTTGTTGACGGAGGTTACTCATGTCAGACGTTTGACTTGCAATGCTTTACCTGTGTCTCAGATACCAGGTGAAGAGAAAAAGGCTTGCTGCGATAATGAAACCCAGAAGAGGTGCTCGACACATGGTCGACGGCGCTACATTTATTTTATTTAACCTTTACACAGGTAGGTCATCTGGACAGTTTCTTTTTTTGTGCTGAAACGTTTCGCCTTCGATCCGGAAGGCTTCATCAGTCAAGGAAACTGATTCTTCCTCCAACAGCTTACTCCAAAGTGGAACAAACCAGTTCTGCTTGTGATAAGATGGTTTCTTTGGTACGCCCCTCCTCCATTGCCTTTCTTGTTTTCAACCAGTTTGACAAGACTGTCAACAAGGAAGAGGGCCGGCAATGGAGGAGGTACCAAAGAGACCATCTTATCACAAGCAGAACTGGTTTGTTCCACTTTGGAGTAAGCTGTTGGGGGAAGAATCAGTTTTGTTGTGTGTTTCCTTGACTCATGAAGCCTTCAGGATCAAAGGCGAAACGTTTCAGCACAAAAAAAGAAACTGTCCAGATGATCTGACTGAAAAATGTTGGATTGTATACCTGGATTATTGAGCATGGACTTTGTTGTTTATACAGGTGGTCTCGTTTTCAAGAGAGAGTTCGGTGGTCGGTGCTGCGGTCTCATAATGTTGAGGCTGCAGGTTCAGTGTCAGGAATAAAGACCTCTGGCACAAAACCGTTGCCAAATCTGACGTGCCACAAAAGGGACGTACAGTAGTTGAAAGAAAAACATGGCAATTATCAAATATGACGACTATTCTTGGTTGCCATTTTAAAAACCATATTTTATTTAAACTTTAGGACTCATTTTCAAGAGAGCTGTTTGGAAGCAGATGGTGGGGGGGTCTTGCTCAAGAGCCCAGAGTAGGGTGAATGAGGGTGGGCGTTTCACCTTTTCCACCCACGTTTTGATGTGAACCTTCCAATCAAAGGCCCCCCCTTTCTCTAACCTCTGTGCCACCACTCCCCTAATGATAGTTGCACATCTCGTTCTTTTTTTACTGCCTCCAAGTGGCAACATCATGTCGACTGTTGTGATGAGATTTTTAGCTCAAACAGCATTTTATTTGTGCATCGACTTCCTGTTTACAAACCGTGACTCGTTTAGCTCTGAATATATTAAAAAATAAAATTACTGGCTCCTTTTTGTACCGTTAGAGGAGTTGTCACGTGACTAATTAAAAAAAAATTAAAATCTTTGAAGGATTTATTTTAAGCCAACACCAGACAGGAGTAGAAGAAAAAAAATAGTTTATTTTTACAGTTTTCTGCATAAATTCTTCAGTCAAAACTTTAAAGGAAGCAGCTTAATGTGGAAGCAATAGAGAAAATCAATTACATTAATAAAGTTCTGCTTAAACTCTTCAGTCTAATTCTTTTCTAAGTCTTAGTGTTGTCAGAGGATGAACAGGAGCCATTTACACAATGTTTTAACTGAAGGCTCAGGTTATGTGCAGCCCACATATCAACATTTAACAGTGCAACAAAAAGTTTCTAAAGGATTCGGTAGTTTTTACACGTCACTCATTACACCCACTAGATATTCTTAATAGTTTTATGTACTTTTGAGCCATTCCCACAGCGTTTGTCACAACGCAGCTGAAAGTAGAGTCAAAGTCCTCCAGTGTGACGTTTGTCAAAAGCAAACTCTTCAGCAGGATTGACCCCTCCATTAAAGATGATCTACAACAAGAAAGCATCAAGCGTCACTGCAGGACCAAGTAGAGGGGAAGTATTTGTCTTTATGCCATGTTTAGCTACGCTCTTGTGCTGCGGGAATACTCACTCGTGCGTCTCTACTATTCTGTCACGGCTGAGTGTGTCTTCAGGGAACGAGCCGTTGACGAGCCAGTAGATGAGGGCCTCGCCGTCGTCACAGTTCGTAAGAGCGCCGCAGTGAAGCAGCAGCTGCTCACCTGCAGAGGTGAACGCGTTCGGATCAAAATAAGCGCAAGAGCCCTTTAAAATGGATTTCATGTATTCAAAAGATTAACTGGAGGAGAAATGGCAAAGGGACGATACCTGGATGAGCTTTTATTTGGTTGTGAACTGGTCCGATGATCTTGGGGGAGTCGTGCTCTGAAACTGCAAACATGTGGGCAAGCCATTAAAACAATACAATTAAATTGTCTCCTATAAAAAAAAAAAAAAAAATTGTACCTGGAAATCCATCTGCAAGCAGCACACACAGACATCCAAAAGCTGTTGAAAGAGACAAAGATCACAAGAAGAATGGAGACTGAGACCAAATGACTGTTCTCATCGTGGGTTTACCTTTGAGAACAGGCGGCAGCTTCATTCTGACTCCTTCAGCGATCGTCGTCTACTGACCGTCACTTAGAGGTTACTATATATACACACACACAACAGACGTGCTGATCGCTCACTTCCCCTTCGCATATTCAATATGTGGGGATTTCCTCATCATTTTCACCAATCATGTTCCCTTCACGTTTACGGTTGTAGTGAACTAAGCCTCAGGTCAAGTCCTGACCCTGAGGGCCTTCCTGGAACAAGAACTGTTATTTCATTGATTTGAGTCCAGAAACACAAATTAAGCTCATCCAGAGACTTTTTGAGTATGTCCGGCACTGATCAATTGAAAAAACACTCTCTTTCATATTATCATTACTATTTTACAAATGTCTTGATAATCAAAAGTGTTTAGTTCCAACCATTTTTAAATGTTGAAGTGAACTACTCATTTTAAATCAACTGTGAAACAGTATAAATGATTTTTAATCCTCATTCAAAGTAGAAATCAAGTTAATGTTTGTTACAAGAGTAATTATGCATTTTGATCTTTTGTCTGAAATGAGCAAGTCGTGATGTGGGTCAGAAGTCAAGTTTCGGTCAAAAACATGTTTACTGGAAAGAAATGTCATGTTTAACTTTTTCAGATAGATAGAAGAAGACTGGCTCCAAAGTCTAATTTCTTCAAAACATCTTTCTGTCTGTTCAGAGGAACCGGAAATGACCTCTTTAAAAGGGTCGACACTTCCTAGTTCCAAGCAGAACGCAGAACAACGGGAACTACGCAGAACAAAGTTCCAGAAGGAAGAACAAAGTTCCGAGTCTCGTGGGGATTATGGAATCTTCCACATCTGAGTGGAACCTCTGACGGGCTCACAGCTCATGTGAGTCCACCTGAGAGGTGAGCGTGGTGTTGAACGAAGTACCGTCACTACTTCGGACGATTCGCAGCTGTTCCTACGGAGACGCTGGAAAGGTAGCGTTAAATGGAACTCCGTACCAGTGGAGACATCTTCTACAAGGTAACGAGTCCCTCACTACCTAAGTGTACCGAGGTGGAGCTGGGTTCGGATGGAGGGTGCCGTTCGTTATCAACCCACTTTTCCCTCATCCATTTTCTCTCCATTTAAACTCCTTCATTTTCCCATCTTTAAAACTCTTCTATCTGCCAGTAATTAATCCAGATATTTTCAGAAATGTCTGTTGTAAAGCTGCAAGTGAAAACCATGGCCGTATGGTTTTCTCATTGTAAAGCTCATTAATTAAGTTGTTATTGAAATCAATCTGCCAATTAATGTAAATGTGTGATGTTGTTTTAAATCGTTTTAATAAACGACCCACTGTTGTTGGTGAGTCAGAAATTAAAACACGTTTCCGTCCACATTTAATCATTCAATGCACGATAGTACTCAGTCCAGAAAAATGAAAGAATCCGTTTAAATTATGGATAATATCTGACAGGTATTATGCTCATTACACGGTCAATTCAAAAAAATTACTTGGGATCATTTTGGTCATTCTGTGTTCAATGCTGGACGATGCAGGGATGAAACTCCTGCTCGGAATATAAAACCACGTTGACATTTATTTAATGATCTGGATACGAAACAGTCGTACATACCGTTAGTTCAACCTATAAAACTGGTATTTGAGGTGCTTTTATTTTGTAAAGTGTAAACAACCGTCTCCATTCTGCATGTTGGACTTGAATGATTCAGGGATTAATCTTCAGATAGGTCACATTTTCCATTTATATGGCCATTATCCTATTTTTATGCTGCAAAAATAATTCAGAATAATTATTTTAAAAATGCTTTTACGTTTAAGCTATTCCTGTTTTTAGTTCAAAATATGTACTGAATGCAAAGAAGTATCGGCCCCGATTCCTTTAATTTTAGGAGATCGTCCGACACTTGCACGAGAAACCGATTTTACAGATTTTTTTTTTGTAGTTTGAACAATTGTCTAAACTTCATTTATGTTTCAGAGCACACGGCCAGTTAAAACAAGTCTATCTTTTCTAGGATATTGTTCAAGGGTATGTTTTTCAATAACATAAGATCAGAAAATTGAAGGAGTGTTGTGACCTTATAACACCTGACAGTGTCGCTTATAAAACTAAATCGGAATCGGCAGGTCAGACTTTTTAGAAATCGGTGATCGGCAATCGGTGCACCCACACAAAGAAGCTAAATAACATTAAGAGGCAGCTGCCCCCCCCAAAAAAAACTGCAGAAAACATCCCAGAGTTCACGTTTTTGAGGAAGCAATGATTTACGCCGGTTTCCATTTAAAATTTATAACTCATTAGTGACAACTCCTCAGACATGACAAACGCCAGCATGTTTACATTTAGACACTCGTGACACAATTAAAAAGCACCTCTGATGATTTCAAGAATCGCTTTACTTTTCCTTAAGACGCACAAATCCAATCGCTGAGGTGTGATACTGTGTGGGAGAAACCCTGGGACACTGACACGCACATCCAGAATCAGAATACTAATAAAATCCAAAGAAACTGAAAATACAGATGTGCCTATAAATATGTACAAAAAGTATAGACACTTGAATTGGTGTTTAGTTTAAACGTCAGGCCCACAGTCCTTTGAGCCAGTGCATATCTTAGTCGTGTGGCGTCTGTCTGTCCGTCACTCCAGCCCGAGGATGTAGTTGATAGCTTGGACAAACCCGATAATGACGGGCTGCCAGGCCACCAAGTATCGCAGCCAGTCTAAAAGTTGGCCGTACATGACATGCGGCCTTTCCCAGCTGAAGACAAAACCACTCAAGGAAAATAAAACGTTCGATTGCTGGAAGTGACTGTTAACATGCAGCTTCAGGATCAGAACGATGGAAAAGTCCCTTTTTAGTTTATGTAATCCGTTACACGTAGCTGAAAGAATCTCACTGATCCATAAAAAGGAACAAGAACTTTATACAACATATAAACTTACAATTCTTTTTTTTTTTCCTGTGCGCCATCTGCTGCTTTAATTAAATGTTGCCGTTTAAACTTCCACTTTGTAAAATATATCCGTTGTTCTCGGTTTCCGCATAATTAAGTTTCATGACATTGGGTTAATCAGTTAAAACTTTCAGAGCTTCCGACCTCCATAAACCTTATCACCTCTAATAAAATAGGAGGCAGTTTATTACCCAGTATGCTTTCTGAAAATATAAAACACCAGATGATTTTGTTGGACGTCTACATGTTGGATTGATCAAAGCAAAAAGGATACGGATTGCTGAACATCCTCTTCAGATCCACCTTCTCTTTGCAGTACGGGCACATCTGCTTCTTTCCAACGATGCACCATCCTCGGATGCAGAACTCGTGGAAACTGGACGTGGAGTTAAGGCTCAAAAACACAAAATACGTTTGGAGTAAAAGCTTAATGAGAATCAATATTAACAGCTGAAATTCAGGAAGCATTCTTCAGGACTTCAGAGATAAAACAGACAAACGGAAGCAGCTGCATCTCCCTCCTGGACATCAATCTGGAATTGAACAGAGGATGAAAGTAAACATTAATGCTTCTGGTGCAAGTTGTTCAAGTGCGTAGGAGTTGCACTGTGGAGAACAGCTTTTATTTTTTGCTCGTCTGAGGTCAGGGGGTGGCCAATGGTGGCTTTGGCCACTATAGAATAATCTTCAGCCACCCCAATCACTTGAAGAAACTATACTTTTAAGCAATATCAAAACGAGAGTATAGTTTTCTCAAATGATTGGGGTTCTCAATTTACATAATATGTGACGTGGCCATCTTGGATTTTGACATGGAAACCCAATTTTCAATAGCGATCGTTCTTGCATCTAGATGCAACCACGCATCAAAATGGAAGATGGATTTTGTTGCACCCAAATCTTGAAAAGAACCGTTCTTACACCTAGAAGTTGGTACCTCGCTTATTTTTCAAGTTATCGTGTTCACAACATGCACAGATGGACAGAGGGTCTCTCTAATTTCCAATTATCCCTCTTCACTCTGACGGAAGACTAAAAATAAAAATAAAAACCTAACGTAGACACGCAAAACACATCAAGAGTCTGCATTTTGTTTGATTAGGAGTTCAGGACAACTCTCAGCTACTACCACACCAAGTTTTAGCTTAATATTTTAATGGAGCAGACAAAGTTCCAGCCATTTTTGTTTTTGCCAAGTTTGATTAGCCGACACTTTTAGCTGTGCAAATTTAATCAGCTGTAGCTGTACATCCTATAATCACGTTCATAATACAGTCATGGCTTCACTGCTGGTTCCATTTTTACAACTAATACTGGTGTAGCTGATGAGGTTTGCAAATCTATTTAAAATTTAAATCATACATTTGGACTAATGCTAATATTCATATGTTTATTACATGCAGACATACAATACGATTTAATTATCACTGCAACTACACCGTCTGCATCTGTGAGCCCAAATATCTGAGGATAGATTTGAATGAAACAGACAATAATTATTGGATATACATCTATAACCTGCATTTACTCATGCCTGAGCTTTGGACTAAGATGATTTTATGTAGCAAAGTGACTTGGCTGTACCCATTTTGTTCAAACCTTGAAAACGTTACGCGTGATCTCGTGCTGTAAAATTCTTTAGTAATTTTTGTAAACATGTGCACGGTATGATGCAGGTATATCTAAAATTCAGGTGACTGGATGTACTTCTGGTTTTACAGAAACACACCTGCTGATGTCCTGTTGGTTGCTCAGCTGACAGAGACCTGACTTGTTCTGCGTGTACAGAGATGTCGGAAGTGGTCACACATGTGGGAACATATTTTAATGCCATGTGTGCAAACAGGTACGCGGAGCTCCCCGTTTGTGGTTGTGTCACCCAGAACACATTCTCACTAAATGTGAACAAGCCTAAAGGTCCTTCTCAAAAAATTAGCATATTGTGATAAAGGTCATTATTTTCCATAATGTAATGATAAAAATGAAACTTTCATATATTTCAGATTCATTGCACACCAACTGAAATATTTCAGGTCTTTAATTGTTTTAATACTGATGATTATGGCATACAGCTCATGAAAACCCAAAATGCCTGTCCCAAAAAATTAGCATATTTCATCCCACCAATGAAAGACAAGTGTTTTTAATACAAAATACACCAACCTTCAAATAATCATGTTCAGTTATGCACTCAATACTTGGTCGGGAATCCTTTTGCATGAATGACTGCTTCAATGCGGCGTGGCATGGAGGCAATCAGCCTGTGGCACTGCTGAGGTGTTATGGAGGCCCAGGATGCTTCGATAGCGGCCTTAAGCTCATCCAGAGTGTTGGGTCTTGCGTCTCTCAACTTTCTCTTCACAATATCCCACAGGTTCTCTATGGGGTTCAGGTCAGGAGAGTTGGCAGGCCAATTGAGCACAGTAATACCATGGTCAGTAAACCATTTACCAGTGGTTTTGGCACTGTGAGCAGGTGCCAGGTCGTGCTGAAAAATGAAATCTTCATCTCCATAAAGCTTTTCAGCAGATGGAAGCATGAAGGGCTCCAAAATCTCCTGATAGCTAGCTGCATTGACCCTGCGCTTGATAAAACACAGTGGACCAACACCAGCAGCTGACATGACACCCCAGACCATCACTGACTGTGGGTGCTTCACACTGGACTTCTGGCATTTCCTTCTCCCCAGTCTTCCTCCAGACTCTGGCACGTTGATTTCCGAATGACAGGCAAAATTTGCTTTCATCCGAAAAAAAGTACTTTGGACCACTGAGCAACAGTCCAGTGCTGCTTCTCTGAAGCCCAGGTCAGGCGCTTCTGCCGCTGTTTCTGGTTCAAAAGTGGCTTGACCTGGGGAATGCGGCACCTGTAGCCCATTTCCTGCACACGCCTGTGCACGGTGGCTCTGGATGTTTCTACTCCAGACTCAGTCCACTGCTTCCGCAGGTCCCCCAAGGTCTGGAATCGGCCCTTCTCCACAATCCTCCTCAGGGTCCGGTCACCTCTTCTCGTTGTGCAGCGTTTTCTGCCACACTTTTCCCTTCCCACAGACTTCCCACTGAGGTGCCTTGATACAGCACTCTGGGAACAGCCTATTCGTTCAGCAATTTCTTTCTGTGTCTTACCCTCTTGCTTGAGGGTGTCAATGATGGCCTTCTGGACAGCAGTCAGGTCGGCAGTCTTACCCATGATTGTGGTTTTGAGTAATGAACAAGGCTGGGAGTTTTTAAAAGCCTCAGGAATCTTTTGCAGGTGTTTAGAGTTACGTCGTTGATTCAGATGGTTAGGTTAATAGCTTGTTTAGAGAACCTTTTCATGATATGCTAATTTTTTGGGACAGGCATTTAGGGTTTTCATGAGCTGTATGCCATAATCATCAGTATTAAAACAATTAAAAGACCTGAAATATTTCAGTTGGTGTGCAATGAATCTGAAATATATGAAAGTTTCATTTTTATCATTACATTATGGAAAATAATGACCTTTATCACAATATGCAAATTTTTTGAGAAGGACCTGTATAAGAGGCTTTGTGATGTTCACAAGGCTCACAGCAGCTGGGCATCAAGGGGAAGTCGCTCACGGTAACTCATATGGGCAGACATTAGCAGTACGAGCTAAAGGTCAGCTATTGCAATTCCTCTTTACACTGGAAAGATATTTGTAATGTTTTACTTCCTAATAAAAACTGTGAAAACTAAACTTTTAACCTTCCTACTATGTTAGGGTCCGTAGTGACCCATTTTAAATTTTAAATCATGATACTGTCTTTTAAATATTTTTTTTTGCATCAAGGCTTTTTGACTTTGTCTGGAACCTTTATTTAAATTAAAATTTTTTTATTTTTTTTTATTCACTAAATTTAATTTTTATTTTTTATAGAACAACACGCACTTGCCGCGCTGGGGTCATTTGTGACCCAGTTATGGTATAAGACTATCAACCAATAATCAGTGTCAAAACTGAAATCATAAACACACTGTGACCTCACTAACTTTGTCATACATATGTTAGGGCCTTCTGTTTTTACCTGTTTGTCTACTTCACTGACCAAAACATCCCCATTTATCCGTACTACTTTTATTGACAAGTCCCTCATACTCTGCTCCCAAAAACTGAAAAAGTTCATCCAGCTGTAGATGCAGAGACATGTTGAGGCATGCCCATGTAGAGATAAGCCTACCTGGATAGCCATGCCCATCTTGATAGGCAGACCTAGATAGACACACCCACCTGGGTGTGTCGCTACATGGGCATGTAGAGACATGTAGAAACAGACACTCCATTTTACCTAGAGCTTGGCTGCATACCAAAATGAAGAGAAGATTCACAGTACAAGAAGCTCTAGATCACATCCTTGCTGAAAATGATGCAGAGGACACACCTAGTGACACAGATGAGCCAGTTTCTGAGGAGGACGATGCTATTGAATATGAATCAGAGTACACAGACTCGTCGGATGAGGAGGGCACAGGTGCTGAAGCTGCTCCTGTAACTGAAACCTATAAATCCAAAAAGGGTAACATCACTTGGAGTGCGATTCCTCCTGTTTCACATGGCAGGGAAGCTGCTGAAAATGTTATGAAGATGACCCCTGGGATTACAAGGTTTGCTGTGACACGAGTACGTGACATCAAGACATGCTTTGATTTGTTTATGCCATTGTCACTAAAGAAAGTCATCATTGCTATGACAAACCTCGAAGGGAAAAAAGTTCACGGTGACACTTGGAAGGACATTGATGAGGAGTGCCTGGATGCTTTTATTGGTGTTCTTCTTGTCGCTGGTGTGTACAGATCCAGCAATGAGGCCCTTACTAGTCTCTGGGATGTGTCCACAGGCAGGAGTATTTTCCACGCAACAATGTCACTTCAGACCTTTCAAATGATCTCAAGAGTCCTCAGATTTGACAACAGAGATACTAGAGCACGGTCTGACAAGCTTGCTCCCATCAAAGACGTCTGGGATAGATGGGTGAAGCTCCTTCCACTGATGTTCAACCCAGGACCAGAGGTGACAGTGGATGAGCGTCTTCTCCCTTTCCGTGGAAAATGCCCCTTCCGGCAATACATGCCCAGTAAGCCAGGCAAATATGGCATAAAAATCTGGGCAGCCTGTGATGCGAAAACCAGCTATGCCTGGAATCTACAGATTTACACAGGCAAACTTGCAGCTGGCATCCCTGAGAAGAATCAAGGAAAACGGGTAATCCTTGATATGACTACTGGACTGCGGGGTCACAATATCACGTGTGACAATTTCTTCACCAGCTATGATCTTGGACAAGAACTTCTCAAGAGGAAACTTACCATGGTGGGCACAATAAGAACAAACAAACCTGAGCTGCCCCTTGAAATTTTTGCAGGTGAAAGACAGGGCTCCACTGTCTTCAAAATTTGCTTTTACAGAAACCACCAGTGTTGTTTCATACTGTCCCAAAAAGAACCGGAGTGTGGTACTTATGTCCACTCTTCACAAAGATGCAGCTGTGTCAACAAGAAGTGACAAAAAGCCTGAAATCATCCTGGACTACAATAAAAACAAAGGAGGAGTGGACACCCTGGACAAGCTGACTGCCACCTACACTTGCCAGCGAATGACCAGGAGATGGCCAATGGTTGTATTTTACAACATCCTAGATGTGTCTGCATACAATGCATTTGTCTTGTGGACCCAGATTGACTTGGGGTGGAACGCCAAAAAAACCCACAAGCGGAGATTGTTCCTTCAGGAGCTAGGAAATTTGTTGATCAAGCCATACATTGAGAGAAGGGAACGGATACCCCGAGACCCAGCCACTGCGAACGTTGTCAGACAGCTCCGGAGCACCACTCCAACCACATCATCAGCTGCACAAAGTGCATCAGTGACAACACGCCCTTCAGGCAGCCGGGCTTCAACATCGACCACACCCACAACTCCACCTGCTTCAAAACGAAAGAGGTGTCAGGTGTGCCCAAGCAATAAAGACCGGAAAACAAACACATTGTGCCTTGACTGCAGAAAATACATATGCAAAGAACATACGAAAACTGCCACTTTTTGCAACACATGCATCTGAACACAACGCAAGTTCATACGCAAGTTCATACGCATGCATGAAAGACAGAAAGAAACTAGAAAGAGCATGTTTGTAACTAGAAGAGTATTTATTTCATTTTGATTTTTTCTTGTCTTTCTGAATCTGTATTTTGTATTATTACTTGTTCTGCTTTTTATTTTATATTGGTATTAAAGTTCAATGTTTGAAAAGAAATGTTTCTTCCTTTTTTTGACGTAAATATACATGGGTCAAAACTTACCCTTAACACTATAAATGTTACCATGGTTAATAATATTAAAATAACAAAATAATAAGACAAATTTATTTTAGAGATGTGTTCTAATACTTCTTAAAAAAACACTGTTTTGAGGGCATTTTTTGGCTGATTTAAGACGGGTCACAACTGACCCGTTCACATCATAAGTGCGTGCGGGATCTCGCCCCGCTAAAGAAATGTACACCCTATAGTTATTACCCATTGTTTTCTTTGTTTTTTTTACCAATAAGACTGATACAAAAACATATTTGTGTATGTATCAGGAAGGATACACATGGTTGCAGGATAATCTGTAGGTGTTCTCGATAATCCCTTCCTCACTGACATCTACGAGAATGGGCTGGCCACACACAGCACAGATATTGTCTGAGAGGTGTTTGGTTGGCATCCCTGATGCACTGTAATACTGAAAAAGCAAAAAAAAAAACAGTCAAGAAAACAAACGAAAAATACATTAACAAAGGACGAATGGGAATATCTGCAATTTTGTCGACTTACTCCGACAGTGGAGGCCATAAAGTCTGCACACATTTCTGCAAAATCTCTTCCAAGGACGCCGTAGTACAGCCCGTAAAAAAGCAGCGACACACCAAAGTCCATTGCATCCTCTGGCTTTATCCTGCACCAAAAATCAGAGGGAACTGCATCATGACTAATGCTGCAGAGGCATCAGAGGACAAACTACCAATTAGTTTTAATTTGTACGAGAAAAAGAAAGGATGTTTTAAATGTATACAAACGAAAAAAGTCAACTTGTGACCTCACTGTAACTGTGGTCAGAGATTTCTGGAAAGGAGCTAAAGCAAATAGCTGTGTAGTCCCAACTATAAATAAAACCATAAGTAACCCTTTGTGCCTATACACTCTTTAACAGCAGTCTCTTGCACTCGATTTTCCATTAATACTCTTGACTTTGGGTGTTTTCAAATTCAGATGTTCATGTGGAAGTTGCCAATTAGTGGAAGAACTCCTCATAAGAATTGTAAAATATTCTTGTTTAAAGAATTGTTGAATGCAAATCAGTCAACTTTTATTTTCATAGCACCTTTCATACAAGTCCAATGCAACTCAAAGAGCTTTATTTATTAATAATAATAATAAAAAAAATAAAAACATTCTATAGGATATAGCTATTTTAAGTAAAGCCTGAACAAACAGATGGTTTTTACTCTACATTTAAGAGTCCAGATTATGGACTCCTCTCACTGACGGGCTGTTCCACGGACTCAGTGTGCTGCTACTGAAAGCTGAATCTTCAAAAGGTTCTTGCTCTGTGGAATAGCTAAAAGAGAGGAACCAGAGGATCTGGTCCTTTAACCAGAACCACCTCTCTGATGGTCTACTGCTCGGACATGGATCGTCTACTGTTGTCATCATTCTTTGTTAAAATCAGGTCTCTTGTGAGAAATGAGTCCTCGAGGCTCAATGAGACTACCCTGTATAAATAACGGTTGAATGAATGCGACCACAAATTGCCTTAAAATACAGAAGACAGACCATCTCAGAAGCCGAGTTTGCTTCATTTTCAAATCAGGTGAATAAAATTATTAGTGAAGTTCTGTGTTGATACTCAAAACTTCAGGGCGCTGAAGGTGAAACAATTATAAGAACTAAATTAAAATAACCAATAAAACTCACTGAGCTAAAAAAAAAAATGTCTGTGATGAATTATATTCCTAACATAGTATTAATTTCTTTGTTAGTGAAGCTTTGCTCTATTCCAGTTGAGGAATTGAAGCAACGTGTCAGACGGGTTCATGCACAGGTTAGAAGGTGAGCTGGAACAGAGGAAGTCATGAAAACTTTCTTTGGTTTGTGCACGAGGGCTTGTTGAGCTGATTGCACAAGATGTAAACCAGCATCATCTGGTGGCAACACAGCGCCACTAGATGACGGAAATGAACCGGAAGCTGGAAATACCGGGCTCCACCGTCAGAAATTTTACATCTATTTGACGTTTTTGCACATTTACATGAATGTAAAATAATGTTTTGTTCGTAACACACACCTGAATATTAGGTTAATACCAAAAAGTGTAAACATGACGACGCTGTAGCCAACAATTCCTGTGGCGTAGCTGATCTTGTACAGAAGGAGGAACCACTTGTACACCAACCTGCAGAAACAAGGACGTTTAACTTGATCAAAAACCTCAGGTTCTCTCCACACTTACAGAAAGAAATCACTCGCACCACACTGACACTGATCAGCCACAGCAACAAAAACTACACATGAGATGGACCAACTTATGAAAACAATACATTCATTCCAAATGTGATCTATAAAGGTGTGAACAATGGGTTTACCTTGGTGTGGTGCAGGCCAGAGGCTTGCGAGTGGCACGGAAGGAGATGTACGCCGTGATGACAGAGAAGATGAACCATATGGTCAGGAACCTCCACCAGTGAAGTTTGGTAGTAAAGTAGAGAGGGACTATCCACATCTGGAACAGAGTCACCAGCTAAAAATAAAGAGCAAAAGGTGGAAATTAAATGATGCTTCAAAATGTTAACACAATCAGACATAATGCAAACACAAAGACATCATGTGACATCAATTAGAAAACAATAAAAAAGCAAACGTGGAAAAAGCCATTTGCACTTTGCCAGCACAGATTCCCTTCATTTCCATCCATGTTGCTATAAAAACACATTATTCGTCCTCGCTTCACATTAAATAGTTTCTGTATTTAATCCACACAACTTGCACATTGTAACGTTTCTAAATTTGGACTCGGAGCTTGTTTTGTGCCTTACGTTGTAAGACTTTGGATGTCTTTGTTTCCACTGAACGAGGATGAGCTGGGCGACAACCAGGGTGACAATGAGGATCAGTACCATCTCTGCGTGCATGGCCTCGTGGCCCTTGTGTTTGGCGTGCATTCTTGCATGCTCCATTCTGATGGAAAAAGATGTACATCAATACTACGCAGCAAGGAGGAGCATTATATGCTCATTTATACCAGAGTAGGATTCAGATTCAGAATGCATTTCCCTGAATATACATCTCAAAGATCTTCTAACTTTGTCCCGTGGTGGAAACTGTTTGTATTAAATGAACTAAAACACACTGAAAGAGTAAAATGTTGCATTTTGAAAGCTGCAATGTTAGACTGTAATGTCTAAAACCGAATACATAAAATATATAAGAGTCTGAAGTGGTTCACGATTGAAGAGTAAAAACAAAAGCAGTAAATTTGACAATAAATATAAAACTTGCGTTAACACTAAGCACTCTAGGAACAGACACTGACCTCCATTTCTCTTCGGGTGAAAGCTTGGACACATCAAACTAAAAATAAAAAAGGCAGAGTAAAGAAAGTTCAGTCGAATTAACAAAATAAAGTAAAACATTCCCCATTTTTATCCCAGACAAAATGCAACTTTTCTGTACACAGAAACCAAAACAATTTATTGCTTTGTATCTAGATAGTATGATCATCTGAAACAAGGTCAAAATTATCTTGAGTCTTGTATAAAACATCAGCCATAAGTAACATTGACATGATCCCATCACACTGCTGCGTTCCCATCATTTCTACAAGCAGATGAATCTCACACCGTCAGATCCCAGTCTTTCTGTGTGAAAGAAAAGAGCAGCTAATACACTACTCACATACAGGGAGGAAAATAAGTATTTGAACACGCTGCGACTTTCCAAGTTCTCCCACTTAGAAATCATGGAGGGGTCTGCAATGTTCATCTTAGGTGCATGTCCACTGTGAGAGACATAATCTAAATTAAAAAAATCCGGAAATCACAATGTATGATTTTTTAAATAATTTATTTGTGTGTTACTGCTGCAAATAAGTATTTGAACACCTGCCAATCAGCAACAATTCTGGCCCTCAAAGACCCGTTAGTCCTCCTCTATAACGTCCACCTCCACTCCACTGATTATTCTAAATTAGAAGCACCTGTTTGAGGTCGGTAGCTGCATGAAGACACCTGTCCACCCCACACAATCAGTAAGACTCCAACTACTAACATGACTAAGACCAAAGAGCTGTCCAAACACACCAGAGACTAAATTGAAGACCTCCACAAGGCTGGAAAGGGCTACGGAGCAATTGTCAAGCAGCTTGGTGAAAAAAGATCAACTGTTGGAGCAATTATTAGAAAATGGAAGAAACTAAACATGACTGTCAAACTCCCTCGGACTGGGGCTCCATGCAAGATCTCACCTCGTGGCGTATCGATGATCCTAAGAAAGATGAGGAATCAGCCCAGAACTACACGGGAGGAGCTGGTCAATGACCTGAAGAGAGCTGGCACCACTGTTTCCATGGTTACTGTGGGTAATACACTTAAGACGTCATAGTTTAAAATCACGCATGGCACGGAAGGTTCCCCTGCTTAAATCAGCACACGTCCAGGCCCGTCTTAAGTTTGCCCATGACCATTTGGATGATCCAGAGGAGTCATGGGAGAAAGTTATGTGGTCAGATGAAACCAAAATTGAACTTTTTGGTCTTAATTCCACTCGCCGTGTTTGGAGGACAAAGAATGATGAGTACCATCCCCAAAACACCATCCCTACTGTGAAGCATGGGGGTGAAAGCATCATGCTTTGGGGGTATTTCTCTGCACATGGGACAGGACGACTGCACTGTATTATTGAGAGGATGACCGGGGCCATGTATTGTGAGATTTTGGGGAACAACCTCCTTCCCTCAGTTAAGAGTATTGAAGATGGGTCATGACAATGACCTGAAGCACACAGCCAGGAGAACCAAGGAGTGGCTCCGTAAGAAGCATATCAAGGTTCTGGAGTGGCCTAGCCAGTCTCCACACCTAAACCCTATAGAAAATCTTTGGAGGGACCGTGTTTCTCAGCGACAGCCCAGAAACCTGGCTGATCTAGAGAAGATCTGTGTGGAGGAATGGTCCAAAATCTCTGCTGCAGTGTGCGCAGACCTGGTGACAAACTACAGGAAACACTTGACCTCTGTAACTGCAAACAAAGACTACTGTACCAAATATTTACATTGATGTTCACAGGTGTTCAAATACGTATTTGCAGCAGTAACACACACAAATTATTTAAACAAATCATACATTGTGATTTCCGGATTTTTAAAAAAACTTTTAGATGATGTCTCTCACAGTGGACATGCACCTAAGATGAAAATTTCAGACCCCTCCATGATTTCTAAGTGGGAGAACTTGCAAAGTCGCAGGTTGTTCAAATACTTGTTTTCCTCACTGTATACACATCTTTATTTACACAGAGATTAAAAGTATTTACTCTGAAGGTGGAGAAAAGATTAACAAGTCCTATCATAAACATGACAGAGCGTTTGTGAGCCATTAATACTTTTGTTGGTTTTATTTGGACAGGTTTGCAGTTTTAACTGTTTTAACCAACATAAATCAGTCAGTATGTTTAAAAGAGATGCCCTAAAATCAAAAGGTTTTTTGTTAACATGTCTCATCATGTTTGTTAAAATCAGCCACTGATGCTCTGGATTGTGATTCTTGTTTTGTCAAACCCTGTTTAAGATTGGACAAATCAGGGCTGAATACTTGCAGGGTGAGGTTTTACTAACATGCATGTACTGTGAACAACATTAGAAGCTAGGAAGCTACAGAAGACGTTAGCACAGTCTACATGATGAAGTATGCAGCATAATCAGTACGGTAAAGCTACAAGGTGTTTTGCTGTGTAGCTGTTCTCTAATGGTCACAGTCTCTAGGCTCTCTAATAATGAGACCGCTTTGACCCAGGACGGAGAGCGTGTCCCCCCAGGCAGATAGTTGGCTCTGCCTCAGTCATTCAATGGGACTCAGACAGCTCGCAAACTGAGCACAAAACATTCTGCTGTTTATGAAAAGCTCGACATTCTTAGCTTCAAAAAGTAGAGTTAGCAGGACGTTTTGTTACTGGTTGGACTTCACAATAAGATGGAAAGAGCAAGTGTTGCTTAAGACTTTAAGGAAGTGCAGGAGTGGGGTAAGCCAGATCAGCATATTAACAGATCCCCAGATTTCAAATGATAAGAATGAAAATGCAAATCAATATAAATCCAACATAAAGCAAAACTCTTGATGCGGCATAAATGTGACCTGTGTAAGCTATAGAAAAAGTAATAATTTTCTTTTAAAACAATATTCACAATACAACATTTTCAGTCAGATCATCTGGACAGTTTCTTTTTTTTTTGTGCTGAAACATTTTGCCTTCGGTCCAGAAGTCTTCATCAGCATTCATCGGCAATGGAGGAGGGGGTGTACCACAGAGACCATCTTATCACAAGCAGAACTGGTTTGTTCCACTTGGGAGTAAGCTGTTGGGGGAAGAATCAGTTTTGTTGTGTTTCCTTGACTGATGAAGCCTTCCAGACCGAAGGCGAAACGTTTCAGCACAAAAAAAAGAAACTGTCCAGATGACCTGACTGAAAAATGTTGGATTGTATACCTGGATTATTGAGCATGGACTTTGTTAATATTCACAATATACTACCATACCATACCAATTTATTTATAAAGCACTTTAAACAGTGACAAAGCACACCAAAGTGCTGTACAGGGACAAACAGAACAAGCACACAGCAACAGATTACATAACAGGACACCAAAAAGCAGAAACCAACAAAAACAATAATGGATAACAACAACAACCGCAACATGACCAACACAGTGTGATGCACACAGACTCAGCGCAGATCACACAGTGCAGAAAGACAGGGAATAAAAGTGTGTTTTTAAGCGAGATTTAAAAACTGTGAGGGAGGGGGCCTGTCTAACGAGCAGAGGTAACTCATTCCAAAGTCTTGGTCCTGCTACAGAGAAGGCCCTGTCACCTCTGCGCTTGAGACGGGTTCCTGGGACTGTTAGGAGCAACTGGTCTGCTGATCTGAGAGAACGTGGTGGGACATACGGCTGGAGCAGATCAGTAAGATAGGAGGGGGCAGAGCTGTTTAGTGATTTATAGACATACAAGAGTATTTTGAATTTGATTCGAAGGTGAACCGGAAGCCAGTGTAGGGAGGCCAAAACAGGTGTAATGTGCTCCCTTTTGCTTGTGCTGGTCAAAAACCAGGCTGCTGCGTTTTGGACCAGTTGGTGTCTAGCTATGGAGGTCTGACTGATACCAAAAAGGAGTGAGTTGCAGTAGTCGAGCCTGGATGGAACGAATGCATGAATTACTGTCTCCAGTTTCAGTTAATTAAAATCAGATGAATGTGGGGCGTCTGACCTGTTCAGGCTAGTAAAATAAACACTGCTTTTTTTTACCAACATACCATGTTGCATGGAAACATTAAAAAAAAATGTCGTAATTAAAATACATGCAACAAAATCTGAAGAAAAAAAAAATCTCCCTTTCTAGTCTAGACACAAAATTCAACATGGATTTGATATCACAAGGCCATGATTTTACATGGAAGCTACTGATTAAAAATAAATGTTTTTTTTATTTTTATTAAATAAATACTAAACGCATTAACATAAGAAAAAAACAAGTGTGTCTTGTCATTCAGGTCTAGTAGAATCATTTCACATTAGTTTTGTGTCTGTGGGTCACATAAGGTGAAAGCTATTCTTTTTGTTTCTCAGTAGTGTTCGGTTTTAATTTATTGACGATCCCTACGCGAACTACTTCGGGTCGGGTCTGAGGAGCAGCAGTCTGAGGGCAGCCAGCTGACCGAAATCTGACTGCCTGCATCGGGTCGAACGAGAGGAAGACTCCGCTGAACCCGCGGAGTGCGAATATCCAGAATCCATCCTCGAACTAACTTCACCGCTGTATGCTCTACAGGAAGTGCTACACTTGCTTCCTCTTACTGACTAGATTAACCTTTGAATACCAGCCACATCAGCTTTACTCGAAATGAATAAACAACCTTATTAGTCATTTGTCAACGTGGCAGCGGAACAACAAACTCATTAGTTCTGTGTGTGTGTGTGTGGAGGGGGGGAGGAGAAACACCCGAGTAACTAGCTCAAAAAAGCAGCTAACGCTAACTATGCAATGTTCTTAGTAGGTTTTTACTTGCACTGATACATTAATGAAAGTCACATTTAATTTAGTATGAAACATAATTTTTTGCATTTTTTTTTTTTTATGCTTGGTAATGGATGCTAAATTTGCCGGTAGGTAGCTGATGGTTAGCTAACGCCGATAGCAGCAGCTAACCTGCGCTAAGCAGTTTAATCTTCTCCAATCTGGTTTAATTGTCACTTTCGGAGTGAAGGATTCCTCTCACCTGGTCTGCTTCATTCTGATGCCCCAGTCCATGGTCGTGCTCCACACCGTCAACCTCCACCTCAAACACTCCGGCCATCTTCGGAGTGCTACTTTACCGTTTCTTGGGCCATTAGCATTAGCAGAGAAGCTTAGGAGGGTCACTTCCGGTGTGGTAACGTTCAGTGGGCTTCAAAATAAAAGTCGGTTGAATCGGTAGGCTGGTTTGATCTTTTTGTAATTTTTTATGGTTTATGAAGAAGTTTTGTCAAACATTCAACAATTGTTACCCCCTCAATCCCCCCAATTAGAGACCTTATGTTTTGCTTACACTTAAATCATTCATTCTTGCTATTTTGATATGATTGTGAAATTCTGCTTTTTTTTTTTTTATTATGTGCGTTCATCAATTAGGACTAAATATGCTATGTTAAGGTCTTACATTATCCTTCTTTTATTTATTTTTGTTGCCAAGAAGCCAGACTTTATATTTTAAGGTGGTCCTAATAAATATTTCTTGAGACTGTCTGAAGTGTTTTTTTTTTTTTTTTTCCTTCTAAATCTTTGGGTGTTATGCACTTTATTACCAGTATCCTGACACAAATATAATTTATTCCAATCTAAAGATCACACAGCTTGACATAAAATAGCATTTTAACACCAACAAGGTATTTTCTAAAGAACTATTAACTGAAGATTTGGCAAATAATGGATAACATTTTCAGATATTTTTTTATTATCAGTATCACCTGAAAAAAAAAAAAGCTATCCACGTATCACTATCAGACATGGAAAAACCAGTACAGTTCAAGCTTATATTAATGTCTGACATAATAAATAAACTGGCAAAAACCCTGTTTTGAAGTGTCCACATCAAGGTTCAAGGTTCTTTATTGTCATTCACATCACATGTGATACATGAGGTGGAACAAAATTGTGTACACAAGGTCCCAGTTACACCCAAAAATAGCAAAAATATTCAGTTCAGTTCAATTCAAAAATACTTTATAAATCCCAAAGGGAAATTAAATGTTGTAAATCATCATTCTGTTTTTTCATTAAATAGTTGTTATAGATAATGATGGCTGTGGGAAGGGAAGAGAGTCAGAGTCAGTCAGAGTTTCTTTATTTGCCATATGCACCACGTGGTACATGTGGTGGAACGAAACTGTGTACACAGGGTTAAAACAGTTGAAACTAAAAACAGGAGGCGGGCAGTGGTGGAATCCCACCGTGAATTAAATAAAATAAAACTAAAAACAGCATCATCTTTAGTGAAATACTTCCACACTGTTGATTAATTTCTACCTGAAGACTTTGCCTGCCCCTCGCCCTCCTGCTTGGAAGAATCTGTTTTGTAGACATCGGCCCGGCGCTGATCACGTGACACAATCACTAACTGCCATCCATACATCAATTTTCTTTACCCACTTCTTACATTTTTGGGTCACGGGGTTGCCTGTGTCCATGTCCAGCAATCACTGTGCGAGGGGTGGGGTGCACCCTGGACAGGTCTCCAGTCCATCACAGGGACACATAGAGACAAACAAAACAAACAACCATTCACTCTCTCACTCACACCTATAGAGACAATTTAGTTACCAATCAGCCTAACATGCATGTTTTTGGTCTGTGGGAGGAAACCGGAGCACCCAGAGAAAACGCACACATGCACCGAGAGAACATGCAAACTCCACCCAGAAAGGCCCCCAGACTAAGATTTAACGTTACCCAGTTGTAGGATCAAGAGACAAACATGTAGCATTTACACAGTATGAACAACATTCAGGAATTGTTTCTATAAGAACATTAGCAAATATATTTATTTATTTGATATATTATGTATATTAGTGTGTGTTCCAACTACAGGGGGTTCACGCTTTTAAGCCTCCCTGGTAAGGTCTATTCAGGAGTTCTGGAGAGGAGGGTCCGTCGGATAGTCGAACCTTGGATTCAGGAGGAGCAGTGCGGTTTCATTCTGGTTGTGGAACACTGGACCAGCTCTACATTCTCAGCGGGTCCTGGAGGGTGTGTGGTTGTTTGCCCAACCGGTCTACATGTGCTTTGTGGACTTGGAGAAGGCGTTCGACCTTGTCCCTCAGGTAGCCCTGTGTGGGGTCCTCTGGGAGTATGGGGTACCAGGCCCTTTGATACGGGCTGTTAGGTCCCTGTACGACCAGTGTCAGAGCCTGGTCCGCATTGCCGGCAGTAAGTCGGGCTCGTTCCCGGTGAGAGTTGGACTCCGTCAAGGTTGCCCTTTGTCACCGATTCGGTTCATAACTTTTATGGACAGTATTTCTAGGCACAGCCAAGGTGTTGAGGGGATCCGTTTTGGTGGCCTTAGGATTGCTTCTCTGCTTTTTGCAGATGATGTGGTCCTATTGGCTTCACCAGATCGTGATCTACAGCTTTCGCTGGAGCGGTTTGCAGCCGAATGCGACGCGGCCGGAATGAAGATCAGTTCCTCCAAATCCGAGGCCATGGTCTTGAGCCGGAAAAGGGTAGAGTGCCCTCTGTGGGTCAGGGAGGAGGTCCTACCCTAAGTGGAGGATGAAGGAAAAATGGAGCAAGAGATTGAAAGGTGGATAGGTGCAGCGTCGGCAGTGAAGCGAGCGCTGTACCGGTCTGTCGTGGTGAAGAGAGAGCTGAGTCAAAAGGCCAAGCTCTCAATTTACGGTCGATCTACGTTCCCACCCTCATCTATGGTCACGAGCTTTGAGTTGGGACCGAAAGAATGAGCTCTTGGATACAAGCGGCTGAAATGAGTTTTCTCCGCAGGGTGTCTGGGCTCTCCCTTAGAGATAGGGTGAGAAGCTCAATCATCCAGGAAGGACTCGGAGTAGAGCCGCTGCTTCTCCACGTCGAGAGGAGCCAGTTGAGGTGACTCGGGCATCTGGTCAGGATGCCTCATGGACGCCTCCCTGGTGAGGTGTTCCGCACACGTTCCACCGGGAGGAGACCCAGAGGAAGACCCAGGACACGCTGGAGGGACTATGTTTCTCGGCTGGTCTGGAAACGTGTCGGGATTCCCCCGGAGGAGCTGGCCCAAGTGGCTGGGGAGAGGGAAGTCTGGGCCTCCCTACTTAGGCTGCTACCCCCGCGACCCGACCCCGGATAAGCGGAAGAAAATGGATGGATGGATATTTTTGCTTTTAATCTTGTTCGGATTATCAAATATAGTTCAAAATGTCCTGATGCATGCTCAATAATCCAGGTAGGAAAATCTAACAAGATTAAGTGAGGTCATCTGGACGGATTCTTCCTTGTTGAAATGTTTTGTCTTTTCTCCAAAACACTTCTTCAGTCTGAAACCCTGCAAGAAAACTCAGTCTTAAATAGCTCCTTGTCATAGCGGAGCAACCAGTTTGCTGCTGACAACCAGAATTAGTTGTTCACATGCAAAAGGAGGAACATCAGCCTCATAATAGATGGACAGAGTCTCCGCAAGCAATAGGTCGTCAGTGCCCTGATGGTCGCTGATTGCATGTGAACAGCTTTTTCTGGCCATCAGCAGCAGACGGGTTGGTCCACTATGACAAGATAAGATTTGAGTTTTCTGGCAGGATTTCAGACTGAAGAAGTCTTTTGGATTAAAGACAAAATGTTTCAACAAAAAAGAATTCATCCAGAAGACCTAACTTAACCTCGTCAGATTATCAAATATAGTGCAACTATATCAAATAGCCAACATTAAGGCAAAGAAGACAGGTAAAAAAAAAATAATTAAAAATCTAAGCTACTAATAAAACTTTAAATAGTTACTGAAGTGAATGTTTTCATCCAGAGTAACAAGAGTAGCAAGACTTCAGTGAATTTCAGTATGTACACAAACATAGCTATATGTACATTTAAAATACACAAAACAAAGAACAACTAGCTTTAAGCATTAACCTTTAACCAACAACGTTCATGCTCAATTATCCAGGTATTTTTGGTGAATCTGAGGTTTGAGAACTGAGTTTTCTGACAAAATCCTAATGATTTAAAAAAATATATTTTTCAGGGGTGCTGAGTTAAAATTTAGGGGTGCTTGAGCATCCCCCAAAAAGAGGCTAAACTCACCACTGAAGCCAGTTCATATTTATAATTTACTGTTAAATGCTTTACGTGTGATTTATAAGTGTATTAAGCGCAGGATAATTTCTTAGCTTACTAGTGGTTTAGTATATCCCACACTGCGGTCAGGTGCACCTCCTCATCCTCCTCCCTGCTCAGCACCTTGCTCCGTGTCTCAGTAGCAGTCCTGCAAGCTGCCCACGACATCACATAAGGGACCGGACTGAACTTGGTCAAAGGAGGTCCGACAGCATTGAGAAAGAGCATGTCAGAGATGGTGGTAGTGTGCAGAGAAGCTCGGTTTGGGGTGCACATCAGATTCATGTGGGAAGAGCCCCGTTCACATTCTGTGCTTGATGTGGGGGATTGTATTCACAGCTGTAAACAGTTCTTTCCGTTCATCACAAATGTCTTTTCCTCCTGGTTCCATGTACTCTCTGTGGGCACGGATCACTGTGCGGGGACAGTCTATGTCCAGGAGTATCGAGATGCACATCTGACAGCAGCTGAAACCGGGTGGTCGGATCAGTATCTGTGGCCAGATTCTTCGGATTCTCTGCAGGAGATACTTCCTGCCCACAGCTATCAGCATCTATAACAACTCTTGAATGAAACTAGGATGATGAGGTACAACAACACTTAATTTCCCTTTGGGATTAATAAAGTATTTTTGAATTTGGTTTGCATCTCTGCATCCACTTCCTGGTGACATCAATGTTTGACATAATCTGAGTCAAAAGTGATGATGTCTGTATATGATGGGTTCCCTTCGATCAGTGCATATGGACAGCAAAGGGTTAACCCTTCGCAAAGCAGATGCAGCAGGAGAAATGAGTGCGTGTGGCAGAGAGCAGAGATCATGACAGGCTGCAGGAGGGAGCTTCCCCCTGCATTTGTGGGCTGCACACAGGTGCAACAATATTTAAAATAAATTTATTTTAAATAAAAAACCCATAGCTCGTCCATCAATTGTGTCATTTCCCATCTTACTTTAGATCTTACTCACTATAGTGAGTCAACGAAAAACGAACCGCAAAGTAGCGAGGGACTACATGCAAACTGAAAGAGGTGAATAACTTAAAAAGTGAATAATGTGCAGACGTTGAAGATGATAATATGTGTCAAATGATGTACTGTAAATAATAGAAAAGTGGTG